TTTTCTGTTCAGCTCTCGGACCTCCTCATTTCTTCCATTTGCTTCTCTACACTGGAGAGCAAATTTCAGAGTCTCTTCTGATATCCATTTTGACCTTTTCCTTCTTTCTTGTCTTCTTAATGACTTTTTGCTCTCTTCATGTATGATGTTCTTGATGTCATCCCACAACTCTTCTAAATAAAGGAATATTTAGAAGATTGGAAGGCTTACAGCTAGGGGAATTTGTAGGAGAATCACAAAATCCATTGCTTTCCAATTCAAAATGCTCAGCTATTCTTGGAGCCACCATCTTGGGAGAGAACATGTGGGGGAAGGATCAGAACAATCATGAACGCCTGACAGATCCGAGGAGATACAGGTGTGGACATTCTTTTTTTGGTATCTGTCTATTGTTCATTGGTCTCTTGCTGACTGCACTCCTCCATTTTGGTAAATAGAGGGGATACCTGAGCGATTGGATACCCCACACCCACCCCTTGAGGGTTCTACTACACATTTGCACAGATCTCATAGAAATTTAAAGTGACAATTTCAACATACAACCAAACAGCCACCACTCATCTGTCTGTCATACTGTGGTGGCTTGTGAGTTGCTGTGATTCTGAGGGCTATGCCACTGGTATTTTAAATAACCAGCAGGGTCACCCATGGTGGACAGGTTTCAGATATGCTACCACACAAAGACAGACTAGGAAGAAAGAGTGACGAAAGACTGCCAAATCTTTAGTCACTGAAAACCTTATGAATAGCAGAAAAACACTAGCCATTAGAGAGATGCAAATCAAAACAACAATGATATATCATCTCACACCAACAATAACACCAAAGATCAAAAAAGTAGAGGACAAGAAATGCTGGCAGGGATGTGGAGAGACTGGGATGCTCCTGCATTGCTGGTGGGACTGCAAAATGGTCCAACCTCTCTGGACAGCAATACGGCGCTTCCTCAGAAGTTTGTGAATAGAAATACCTTATGATCCAGCAATTCCTATACTTGGTATTTACCCACAAGAAATACAATCTACAACACGAGAAGATATATGCATACCAATGTTCATAGCAGCACTATTTACAATAGCAAAAAGATGGAGACAACCAAAGTGACCATCAACTGAATAAAGGATAAACTGTGGTACATACATACAATGGAACACTACACTACCTTGAAAAATAACAAGGATGCTGCAAGCCACCACATAACATGGATGAACATTGAGGACATTATGTTAAGTGAAATTAGTCACAAAAGGAGAAATAGTGCATAGGACCACTACTGTAAAAGACTAAGAAAAAGAACCCATACTAACAGGAAGGTGTGTTTTTCACTGGTTGCTGGGATGTGGGGGTAGGGTGAGGGGAGGGAGATGAAGGTGGAGCACAGGGCAGGGAATCAACACAGGATAGTCTGAGTGCTGGGATGGGGGGCAATATACAAGAATGGAGAGGGGAATGGAAACAAAGCAGATGGGAGAACAATTAGGCAGGTTTACATGGGCTAAGTGTGACAGAGGTAAATAATGATGTATGCACAACCTTGGAACAACAGGGTTCTGAGATACAGAGATTGAGACATGGAGAAAAGGGGGGAATAATGTGAAGATGCTTGGCTGTCTTTTGAATCTTGGTTTTCCTTGCATACCATTATAAAATAGACACTGGAGAAGGAGAGAGAGGAATTGCCAGAAACAGCACCATAGAAAGCTTGTAACCGTCTTCTGCCTGTAACTGATTGGAATATCTAAAATGGGGCTACAATGTGCCCAGTGAAGGAGGCTTCCTGTGGAGCCTCTGCATTACATAAGACTATATAGGTGGAAGCCTGAACCACATCCAGATCTTCAGAGATGGGAAATTTACACTTAAAAGGACGGGCAGACCAGCCTGGAGTGGCTAGAAGAACAGAAGATACTTCTGGAAAGAAAGACCTACAGGAAAAATACAAAACAATATAGGCAGATTGACTTTTACTATAAGAACAACCAAGATGCTTGCCCAGGAGACATCAAGGCAAGTGGTTGGGTCCCCTCAGTGCAAACCCATTCCAAGACAAAGACTCAATGGGAATACACGCTCTGATTGGTGACCACATTCGTCACCGATAAGGGGAAGTGAGGGAAAAAAAGCAATGAAGCTGCAAGCTAAGCCCTACAACGTTCAAATGAACTCAGGTGGAGACCTGGTTTGCCAGCAGTGTGGCAAGACCTGGGGACTCTTGGGCCCAGAGTCAGTGACATAACCACAGAGGACTACAGTGGTCAGTGAAGTGTCCAGCAGATAAGAAGAGAGGGCATATGCACAAGAACACCCACACTTGCAGATAATACCCACTTGACCTGGTTTCAGTGACTGGATGATCAGAGCTCAACCAGAAGAAGAAAGAAGAGGAAAAAAAAAGAGTCATCTGATACAATTTGATGAACTTGACCTACACCTATGGATGCAGTAGCTCAAAAGAGGGAACAAATGTTTACAGTGAGGATAATTCCCACCCCTTCCATATACAGAGTAGACAGCGATGGGCAACTTGGACATTGGCTACCCAAAATGGTGGGCTACAAAGGCAAGAAGTCATTGGCTTACAAGCTTTCAAGAGGGAACCTAGATGCAGAGGGCATGAAGGAAGGTGGAATCTCCACTGAGTAGTATCCAATCTGTCTAGGTGGGGCTGATGAAATGAAATTCAGATAGGTCTCTTGTGATACAATAGTGAATAATTGTTTTCAGGACTGATTGTGAGGGTTGGAAATGTAAAGGTAGATATTTTGTAGGAAGGAGGAAAGTGATTAACTTTTCATTCTAGGTGCGGAGATCCCTGGGACCAACAAGGGAATGATCAGAGCAGCCATGGACACCTGTCAGAACCACGGAGTTACAGGTGTGGACGTTCTTTTTTTTTTTGTCTTTCGCTTTCTGCGCACCTCCATTCTGGTAACTAGATGGGTGAGTGGTGCCTGAGTGAGTGGACTCCCCACCCTCAACCCTAATCCTAGAGGTTTCTATTATGCATGCACACAGATCTCCTCAAAATGTAAAGGGACAGTTTCCA